TTGCCTCCTTTCCTCATTCTTTCTTGCTTTCTGGGTTCATTGCGTCTTCGACACTTCGGCATCCAAAGTTAACCTGGATACTATAATCGGCTTACTGGCCGCAGAAGACTGGGCAAAAGAGAACTTGAGAATTCCCCAGAAACACGATACTTGGGTAAAGCAGAGAATTAGACGATGAAGGCGGCCAGAGTGAAAACGCCCAACTTTAAACGAGCGATTTTTCAGTGTGATCCTCGACATGGCAAGTATATGGCAGTTTGTCTGCTTTATCGTGGTGATGTAGTGCCAAAGGATGTCAATGCTGTTATTGCCACTATCAAAACGAAGCGCATAATCCAGTTTGTGGACTGGTGTCCAACTGGTTTCAAGGTACGTATTTCAGCGGGGGAAAAGAAACTAACGAGCATTTCCCTAGGTTGAGTGAACGAGAAAAAGCCCAGCGCTAAATCCTTTTAGCCGTTAACTCTAAGGAACTGTAGCGTATAGCTGCACCTTTTCCTCGCTGAATCGGTGTTTTCAGGTTGGAATAAATTATCAGCCGCCAACAGTTATCCCTGAAGGTGATTTGGCGAAAGTGCCACGTGCCGTCTGTATGTTGGCGAATACGACAGCAATTGAGGAAGCATGGGCACGCCTGGACTACAAATTTGACCTGATGTTTGCAAAGAGAGCTTTCGTACATTGGTACGTTGGTGAAGGCATGGAGGAAGGCGAGTTCTCGGAAGCGCGAGAAGATCTGGCCGCTCTCGAAAAGGACTACGAGGAGGTAGTGTTTTAGTGCTGGGCCTCGTTTTTTCCTTATCCTTCTGGGTTGCTCTTCCATTACGGTTCCAGGAGGAGAGGGGAAAAAGGAGGGGGGGGGGACGAGGGGCCTTTCGGGGCTTAGCAGTTATTTTACTGCCAAAAGCCTGCTCGATACCCCTGTCGCCCCCCGCTCTCCCTCCAGGAGCCTTGTTAGTCTCAGCTTAGTGTCCACTGGTAAGAGCGGGGCGGGAGGGGGGTGGGAACTAGCCCAGGAGGGTGTAGTGACGAAGGGAGAGGAGGAGATGAAAAACCCCCACTCCCCTCTAGGAGACCGTCCTGGATTCGCCTATGTACACTTGCAGTGAAGTAAGCGCAAATGAGTTACAGGTCGGGCTTGATTCGTTGGAAGGTGAGGCTGATGGCGATGAGTATTGACCGCTGAAGAAACACTTTCGCAATGATCATTTTTTGGACGCTGTTTATTTTCATTCTGAATTTTTCATAGAAGCGGTGATATTCCTGACATTCCAAACACAAGTGTCTTAATATGTTTTTCCGGTTGATTTGTTTGTTTTTCATCAGCGGCAATACTGGTTGATAAAAATTTTTGCCGAATTTCCTCTCTTCTTTTGCAACTTTTCATATTTAAAGATTAAAGATTAAAAGGAAAATATCATCAGAAGAAAACAATGAAAAGGAGGAAAAGGATATTAAAATAAATAAGGGGCTTGGCCTCCAATGACGTCCTAATTCCATTCGGCACCAGCAATATACCGCCGTGTGTGCCGCCTGAAAATGAAAACACACTTTCTTCTTTCTATTACTATTCGAAATTGCTTCCCCCAACTGGTCCAATCAAGCGGAGACAAAAATGGTGTTGTGAACGAAATGAAGGAAATAAACGGTGAATGCTGTGGCTTCGAATTGTACGGAAGCGAGGAGTAGCCTCAGCCGATATAATATTGTCGCCGTTCTGGTGCTCGGAGCAATAGCTTCTGCTGGATATATCGTCGTCCTTCTTCGTTGGTTGAAAAAACTAACAACGAGTCCTCTTTTTGCCGAAAAATAGGCGACTGGGAGCCCAGCCTCGCTCCAGCTGGGTCCAACTTATAACTGGTAGTTGGCGCCGTTGGTGGATAACAGCACCACTTTTACAAAGAGCATTTTTCATGAATTACGGTATTCATGACTGTACAATTTTATACTGATTCACATCTTTGGAGTCACCTGAAGCCTCGCCTGCCTCCAGCTGAGTCTAGCCTACAAAACGGCATACATAATTGGCAGTTGATGCCTCTGGTTGATAGCGTCACCACTTTCACAAAGAGCGTTTTTCATGAAACACGTTATCGTGACTGCGAAATTTTATACTCATTCACATCTTTTTTCTTTTTAATTGTCGTTTCTTATTCGAGGAAATCATTTTCTTCGACGTGACTTTGCTACGATACGTCAGGATTTCAGATACACCAAACACCACCTTTGAATTTTGCACTTTTTTTCGTAGCACAGTTAAGCCGTTCACACTGCAAGCTTGCGGGATTTCCATGCAACCGCCGTGATTTTCCACAATTTGTCTGAAAGGCCGTTTTGGCTCCGTTCGCCTGAATAACAAGTTCCAAATTCTATTCCTCGCTGTGTCATAACGAAATTCAGTAAGTGTAAGATTGTGGAAACTGCTTCATTTCTCATGCTGAGATATTCAAGTGTATCATCTCATCGTTAGCAGACTGAACAGACAAAGGTGGATCCAAGGCGGTCTCCTGGGAGGGGGAGGGGATAGCGACAAGGGTCCTGAACAGGCTTTTGTACGATAAAACAACTGCTACCTAAGCCCCTTGGGGGAGGAGGAGAGAGGAGGAAGAAACGCCCCTCAACCTCCCCTGAACCCGTTAACAATTGCAGATGGCAGAACGAGGTGCACTACATGAAAGCGCCAAAAAGAGACAGAGGGCAACTAAG